GCATACTGCGTCCAGCTCATTGCAAAGTGATGTGACACTGATGAAGCCTGACTATCCATTTACTGTTTGAGATGCTGTAGCAGCAGCGCTCGCTGTCTGACAGATTTTCTGGTTTAAGGCTCTGTATGCTGTAGGCCTGCATACGTGATAAATAAGACACATAACGAATATACTGTACACAAGGGCCGATTTAGTTCCACTAAATTATGCAAATTAACCTGTAGATCGATAAGCATGACCATCAATTAATAGGTTAAAAAGCATTATTTTGCAAATGGATCTTTTCTTCTTCTCCCGGACAATAGGCCTTTATCAGCTGTTCTATAGATTTTTTTTTTTTTTTATCGGCCAAAAGCCACCTATTACTGGCTAACGGAAACCCTGCCGGCTATAGTAGCTTGTTCCCATCACCAAGCTCTTCTAAAGCAATAGTTACAGCAGGCAAACTACAGCATATATAAGGCACATATTCATTGATGCCATTCTGCTGGAAATAAATTGAACCAGGAACTAGTGAGAAATTATTCAAAGCAATTACCAGTCTGAAATAAGTGGGCCCTAATGCGTGCATGTGGAAATGCTGCTGACGTGGCAAAATTAGTTGGTAATGACTTACATTTCTCATATAGTAGTGGAAAAATAGACCTTTCCCAAACATCAGTGTACAGACAGCCCAGAGAACCTGCTTATGCAACCATTTGATTGTGGTAATGTCTCAAGCCAGAGGGGCATAATTTTCATATGTTCGGAGAAGCAATAAAAGCTTCAAATGGTGCGAGGGTATGGAAAACGTATTCACCCTGGGTCCCAAAAGTCCCATTATTCTCATGGCATTTTTCACCAATATTATTCATTATCATCATCATTAGTATGGTAATCTCTACTCCATTCTATAATATATAGTCATATTTAGTGGTACTTCATTTATTTTCGGCGGACACAGATATTAATCCCCAAAATCGGTAAAGCCTTGTGAGCTGGGAATAAACTTCAAATCCGACCATCAACAGTAAGACTGTTGGTTAACTGTAATCAGTGAGGTCATATGTCCCTTTAATTTCCAAGACTATACAGTACTCTACAATAAGCCAGCTATCCTTGAGCTGCGTAAACTTTGTGAACTCCAACACGACCACAATGGTCTTCAAAAAGAAATTCGGACTCCGGTCATATTCCTCAGCCCCTCCATTTTAATGAACCCAAAAGCCCATTGCCTCCTACCCCCTGCATGACTCTCCTTCCAAGTTAGAGCCCTGCTATCCCTGTAGAGAAGCAGGACTTCTCCCTGTAGAGAGCGGACAGGTCCAGGACTGACGCTTGGTATTTCATAGTGAGGGGAGTTGGCGGGATCCACGCCTCCACACAGGGAAAAGAGGCTTTAAAAAGGGCACCTGTATAGAAAAGGCGACCCCTGTGATGTAAATTTGTGTACAGGGGTGAAAATGGTGTACTCACGCCACGGCATGGCAGAAAAACATGAGCGGGAGAAAAACCTTGTTATGCCTGGAAAAAGTGAAAACCAAAGTAAACAGATTGTTGTTGGTGTGAATAACTCTGAACATGGTGTTTGAAACATGAACGTTTTACTATATATTATGAGGCATGTCTTACCTTGCTTCAAAGAAGCCTAGCCAAAATCAGACCATATCTGTGGAGGCAATTATTTTATTTAATTGTCCTGTAGTCAAAGGCACAATCCTAGTCATGTTAGTAACCCATGCTAATTGTTGCATATTAGATCTCCCCTCTTTCTAAATTTTTAACGGATATTTTCATCTGTCACATGAAACCGCTCACATGTGCGGTGCGCTTTGACAATGGTGTTTTCCTAATTGCATTATGGAACAAACATTTGCACGTAACCTACTGCCTTGTGCGTATTGCTGCGCTTTTAATGTGAAGAAATAATAGTTTATCAACATTTTAAGCTAAACGTTCTGATATGTTACATCAGACTCGTTGCTTTTTAAAGTATTTTTTATATGTAGCCTAGGCTTACTGGTTGTATGAATTTGGGATTTATCGTCCCACAACTGTCCCAGAGTCTGTTTGGAATAGGCAATTTCTTTCTTGACAAGCTGACCAATAGAATAGGTAAACCCTTCTACTATGGGGGATAGTAGATTGACATAGGCTAGTGATTTTGCTGTTCGTTACTCATCTTGTTGGCGGAGGAAAGGTAAATGTGGACAGTTCTAACATCTTCAAAGTGCGTATCAAAATTTGATAAGGACTGCACATCGTTGTATCCTTGACTGTTCTGTTAATATGAATAACCAAACTCTAAATGTGATTTCTGTCATTCTGAGCACCGTGGGTGGACGCCCTAATCAGGTTACGCATCCAATGCATATGGGTCTGGTAAATGTCTAAAATGTCCGGTAAATTAAAATGCTGCCGTTCAAATGTCTGGTGCCACATTTTCCTAATGGAAACTCTGATGGACCTTTTCACTATCCTGTGCCCCTCTGTAACATGGGTGCCAATGGTGGAACATGCTTCCCCCTTTGTTTTCTAATTGAATAGATGGCAGGTCATTGTCTGTTTAATGACTTCAGTGATTAGAACATCCCGCACAAGGGACATCTGGTTTACATAATGCATTTAGTTTCCATTGAGATGTATTGTGATTACTATTGCATGTATTCCATAGGTTTATGCTACGTGTATACTAGACTTCCTGACCGGTTATTAATAAACCTTGAATTAAATTTGTCCTTAAAGACTCAGAACCCTACATTGGTTTTTGGATTTGTCGTGCCATATGCTATCTATCTACCATGCTGCTCTGTGTTCGTGGTGGGACCTTACGGTAAGTTATCTGTTATTGCTTTATTGACCTCTAAGTGTTGTTTGGTCACCTGCTGTTTTCTCCCATGATAAACTGAAATGGAATGGAAACGTGTAGGAAGCTCATGTCCCCTGGCTTAGTAACATGTCACTGTCCCCAGCAATGACACACAATGACAGGGGCAGCCTATTTACTTCTGTTTACACGACTCAATATAATCGCAGAGACAGACCAAGGATTCCCTGCAAACCAGTGTGTAGCATAAACATTGCTGATTCCATTTTCGCTGATTCAACATATTTAGAATTAGCAAAATTCCCACTAGGCATTGACGTCCTTCCCGATTCCCCTTTGCCACTATCTTATTTGTTTACTTTAAATGTTTACTTAGGGCTGGGAATTGCCAGAGACCTCACGATACGATATCACGATACTTAGGTACCAATACGAACATATTGCTCACTCAGTCTGCTGCAGAGAGACATAAGAGCGCATGAGAATGAGTTTTGATCAGTCATGAAAATGAAAGTGCTGAAAACATGTTAGCTCACTATTTAAAAATAAGATGAAGAACAAGCTATAGGATGAAGAATACGTAGTTTTGGTGCAGGTACAACCGACTAACGCTACCTAGCAAAAGTAATTGATACTTGGAGTCAAAGTATTGATATGTGTAGTCCAAAATAATATCCCCCCCATCAGTGTTTACTACTGTTTTACTACCTCCCCCTCTACCAGAGCCAAATCCCCAGTTGTTTACAAACATGGCTGGATGGACATGGTCCGCTGTGCCAGGCTGCTGTCACTCACTGCCTCCTCTGGGGACCCGCAGGAAGAGCGGCCAGGCTACCCTGACCTACATAGCCGACCCTCTGCCTGAATGCTTGGCATTTTAGCCTCTCTTCTCTTATTCCCACTGACCTCCCGGTGCATAGCGCTGCTTGACTAACCTCTTTCTAGGGACCTGTGTTTTGAGCAATTGTGACATGCCTGAATTTTAACCTTTATTTGAACCTTTAAAGCTTTTTCATCAGACTGTCACCTTTTGGTCAGATGGTCCTGCACCACCATCCGACAATAGCTTTTTTTTCTCTTTTCTTTTTTTGAGCAATCCTCATTTCTGGATATGGCTTAAAATACAGGATTGAATATTGCTATGTCACATGATTGAGCAAAACACAGGGTCCTACCTGTGACACATTTCACTTAGTGCTGCTATAGGAGGAGCGGGAGAAAAGGGTCAGGGTAAAGTTGGCTTGTTCCTCTTGTATTGAAGCTGCCAACAGCGTCGGTGGTAGAAGAGGAGTCGTCGCCAACAGCACTCTTATCTGGCAGTGTTGTACGAACACTAATTTGTCAAGTACACAAAGGCGGGCGGTGGCAGTGGCAGCATCCCTCCCTCTCTCTATCTCTTCCCTCCCACCTTCCCAGAAGTGCAGGCCTCTTGTGTTTGCTCACTCATTCTCATTTCCTTTGTTTCTTATCTCATTTCAAACCCGGAGCCACAGGGGGAATGTGGCTGCTTTAGCTGAAACATGTCACTGCATTGGGATTGGATAGACAAACAGATGATGCAGCCCGCTGCTGAATCCTGAGCCGACCCCTTCCCTGCCACTAGATAGTGACACTCCTTGTGACGTGTTCAATAATGCCAAATCGAGGGCCACTTGGAGATTAATAATATAACATTTATTCTACATTTGTATGTGTAATTAATGCTTAAAACATGAAACAAGAAAACGAGCACAGTATTCATAGTGCCATATTCACTATGCAATCTTATTATAAATATATAATCTATTTTTGAATTATTTCCATGTACTTTTTATGTTGAGTTTGTTGACATCTTTGGAGGAAGTATTGTACAATCCCACACACAATAGCACTCAACCATGAACTTCAGCCTCATCCTATTCTCTTTAATATCCTAAAAAGCGCCATTCCAAGAATAGCTTGGAACCTAATGGCCCATTAAATAGAAAATATTGAGCTATGCTGGATCCCTTCGTTTTCCATGTCATTTAACTTCTTCAGCACGTCTAAATTGGATAAAGTGACAGTACCGCTAAACTTTGCCACATATGGAAGGGGGAGATGTTGAATTATAACTTTCAAAAGGTAGACATAAGTAACCTCTGGGGTCTCGTTTCCCGTAAATGTTAATCGCCCACAACGTCTCCCTACCAAAATGACAGCCATAAAAATACAAATGGCTGGTGTGGTGTTACAATGACAATAACAGTGTAGGCCTAGATAACATGGCTGGGGTACTCAGAGAGTGCTGTGTTCTTAATGCTTGTACTACTGCTTTGTGGACCAGCAAAGGCTTTCAACTTTCAATTTTAGTCGCACATGCATTATGTATGCAGCTAACCCTCGACTGAGTTTCTCAACTCTGTCTGGAGTGTCATATTTCAACCTGCTCCCCTTTTGTGTGGTGTCTGAGTAAAGTTCGTAATAGAGTATATTAGATGCCTTCCCCTTGCCTTGTGGCTTTTTGGATGACGTCTCTGAATTGTTTATGGGTTGTTCCAGCCAAGAGACATTTCAGGTCATCATGTCTTGGCTCCACTGCCACATTCTACTGTTTTGATATCATTCTCCTTAATTGCATTTGGTTTGCTCACCTCCTTCTTGCCTGTTTCTTTCTTCCTCTCACTCGTCAGTTTTTAAGTCTCATCCTGTCATGATAGTTAGCCCTATTTCCTGCAAGGGCTCGACATCGGCGTGAGAGGCTGTTGATGATATGCAGATTATTTTAATGACAGATGCCCAAATAGACTGGAATCTTGTGATGAACATGAATCTGGATTAGTAGCACCAGTTAGGCGCCAGTGTTTGAAGGCCCAATCTGTCTGTGGTGTTGGCCCTGCCATGCCCACGGCCAGAAGACTGCCAGACAATGCCACGCTCTTTAAGCTCCAATGAGGTGGCGTGAATAAATCGAAGGCATTCCCCATCTTCTCATGTGTGTCAGAAGCAGTTGTGAGCACTGTTGAAAAGCTGACTAAACTTTAACCAACCCACAGGGCAAAAATAGAAATCTCTGTGTGTTTAGTATGTTGTTTTCTGTTTGTCACTGACCTTCTCAACTCTAGAAAGTACCTTGGATTATCCACCCCAGCCCTTTGTTAAACTGTTGCATAGCCATGGTCTTCCAAGGTCCTTTTTCAAAGCAGACCATAATATATTGTTCACCCCAAAACCACTAAAAGCATTTTAAGCTGATTTGAAGATGTAGGCTTAGGCTGTAGGCCTTGTTTTTAAAATACAGTGTGCAAGAGCATCTCTGTTTGGTCTCTGGGTGGTTGAGATTATGTTGGTTTAGAGAATGCATCAGTGCTCCAGTCCATCTCCCCCTGCTCCTCTATCAACTTATCTCTCCTTGTCTCCACCTCCACCCTTCCTGCTGAGAGTGATTTGGATGGTAACGTTATTCCGTGCAGCTGCAGAATTGATGGTGTTTTGGTGACGTAGTCACTGGCACCAGCGGGAGATTGATGCCCAGTGTGTCCCCCCTCTGTGTCCATGTCGGCTCACATGAGATGCTCACACATCATCTGCCTCCCACATCCACCTACAACACACACACACACTGCAAATCCCACTGTTTGTGTGAATCCTGCCACATTCCAGCCTCCCTTAGAAAGCGGGGCAGTGACTTGTGGAGCTCTATTTTGGTTATGGGTATATACATTTAAATTCAATCCCTTTTTGACAGCACCCCTTTTGATTTGAACGATACCTAACATGCATATTTACCCATTGTAGAAGTGCTCAGAAAGTGGCTTTATGGACCTGAATGCCAAGACATTAAAGAGAGAGCTGCTCAAAGTTTTCTGATTAGCATACCCCACCATACCATGAGACATACATTTACATTTTAGTCATTTAGCAGATGCTTTTATCCAGAGCGACTTACAGTTAGTGAGTGCATACATTTTTCATACTGGACCCCCATGAGAATCGAACCCACAACCCTGGCGTTGCAAGCGCCATGCTCTACCAACTGAGCTGTCTTCATCACTGGAAAAGATAAACAGTTGAGATTTATGTCAGTTCAAAGCTTACAAACAGGGTTGTCAAACTATTTAATAATTTCTGGTTTACAAATAAATAAAATATTTAAATGGTACTTTATTCTATCATTTTATTGTGAGAAACTGCGGTTTTATCACACATATTTTCTATTTGTTCCTCTTATGTGAGTGATCCTTTTAGAAGTTTATCCAAAAACACGTCAACTCAACTTATTTTTATTTTTTTCATATTCACACATTGTAGCTTAGACCCTATTTTACACAATTTAAGGTTTTTGTGTTGTGCCCGCCATCGGTTGAGACACAACATGCTCTTGAATACAGGGTGGGTGTCATGTTTTTGCTGATACATGTACTTAAATGGGAGGGAATAAATTGACATTTCTACTTTAAAATGTTACCACAAAGATGGAAGTCCACACATCAGAGAATGTTGACTTGAATGGTTATATCTGTTTTTAAATTATACTGTCAATCCTCCGTAGGAAACCTATTGATATCATAGAAATAGATAACAGATATACAGCCAGTTTGTCACAATTCCTGACATTTAATCCTAGTAAACATATCCTGTCTTAGGTCAGTTAGGATCACCACTTTTATTTTAAGAATGTGAAATGTCATAATTATAGTAGAGAGAATTATTTATTTCAGCTTTTATTTCTTTCATCACATTCCCAGAGGGTCAAAAGTTAACATACACATACATTTGGTAGCATTGCCTTTAAATTGTTTAACTTGTGTAGTCTTCCACAAGCTTCCCACAATAAGTTGGGTGAATTTTGGCCCATTCCTCCTGACAGAGCTGGTGTAACTGAGTCAGGTTTGTAGGCCTCCTTGCTCGCACATGCTTTTTCTGTTCTGCCCACAAATTTTCTATAGGATTGAGGTCAGGGCTTTGTGATGGCCACTCCAATACTCCAAGTACGTTCATCTCTAGGAGACTGAACGCGTCTCCTTCCTGAGCGGTATGACGGCTGCGTGGTCCCATGGTGTTTATAGTTGTGTACTATTGTTTGTACAGATGAACGTGGTACCTTCAGGCGTTTGGAAATTGCTCCCAAGGATGAACCAGACTTGTGGAGGTCTACCATTTTTTTCCTGAGGTCTTGGCTGATTTCTTTAGATTTTCCCATGATGTCAAGCAAAGAGGCACTGAGTTTGAAGGTAGGCCTTGAAATACATCCACAGGTACACCTCTAATTGACTCACATGATGTCAATTAGCCTATCAGAAGCTTCTAAAGCCATGACATCATTTTCCGGAATTTTCCAAGCTGTTTAAAGGCACAGTCAACTTAGTGTATGTAAACTTCTGACCCACTGGAATTGTGATACAGTGAATTATAAGTGAAATAATCTGTCTGTAAACAATTGTTGGAAAAATTACTTGTCATGCACAAAGTAGATGTCTTAACCGACTTGCCAAAACTATAGTTTGTTAACAAGAAATTTGTGGAGTGGTTGAAAAACAAGTTTTAATGACTCCAACCTAAGTGTATGTAAACTTCCGACTTCAACTGTACATTACCATTTAAGTTGACATTCAACAGTGGGTGGACTGGCGGTCATCTTTGTGGTAGTAATTAGAAGTAAAAATGTCAATTTAAATTTCAATGGCGTTCCGGCTTTATTGCAGTGATCTGAAGGGATAGGTCCATTCTATGAATTATATTTCTATGATTGAAATGACACCCACCCTGTATTCAAGAGCATGTCTCAACCGATGCCAGACACAACACAAAAACCTCAGATGTGAAATAGGGTCTAAGCTACAACATATATATTAATATAGAGTTTACACATTTTTAGAGCATTGACGTTAAAGTTTTAAAAATGACATTTTTATAGAAAAACTTTTTTTAAAGAAAGAAATAATACAATCGTTTGACAACACGGTTTGTACATTTTTAAATGATATCTAACTTTATATTTTCCAGTGATGGATGTCTCATGGTACGGTAGGGTATGCAAAATTAGTCAACTTTGAGCATCTTTATCTCCTGGATAGTTTGGCATTCAGGTCCAAAAACAACTTCTTCCATGGGCAAACATGTATGGAAAGTTTGCTGTAAAAAAGTGATCGAATTCAAATGGATTTACCCATACCTATGTATTAGGTGACGGTGGACAGGGATGCATAAAGCCTAGTCGAAGTGCCTTTATTTCAAGGAGCCAATGCAGGGGCTGAGTCATCAACGGAACTGCTCAGGTGGGGCTTTAATTTTTAATCACCCAACGCATCCGCTCCCTATACTACGCACCCAGCTATTTGGTCCCCCAGAAGGACCTTAAATCAGACCTACTCAAGGCTATCTGCTCCAACAGTCTCCAAAAGCAAGCCGTGGTCAAGATGGATGTCCAGTTTACTGTAGTTCAGTTTCTGTGGGTCTCTCAAAGTATTGCAATTAACCTTACTCCCTCGTTATTTATCCAGTTAGTGCATTCATCTATTGGCACTGGCATGATCATAGAATGTGAATTAAATTACTGCCAGGGCTGTTTATGTTTATATTCAGTCGGGAGGTGCCCCTCCTATTGGGACTTTTTGTGTCATCCTTTATTTTCATCTGACAGACAGAATGATGTTTTGCCTTAAGAGAATGAAGGTCACATCAGACCCATGTTTGTTTCCGCATCATTACTGCTGTCGTTCGATTTCCTAACCTTGTTTATCAACCATTGGGAAAAAAGCCTGAGTCTTATTGGATTCTCAGTCCGTCTTTCCTCTTGCAGAGAAGTCTATTTTGTTGGTTGTAACTCACTTAGTACAAATGAAATGATGGCGAACAGGGGACGGACTTGACCATGAGAGTACTAGGGGAATGGTGGGGGGGGGAAGGGTGACATTGAGGAGGAGTTGTTTAGAGGCAGCACACACACACACCCACACACTACTGGGCCTCATCAGACGGATAGTGGCATCTCCCACATCAATCATATCAGTTAGCTGGGCCTAGCAGTAATTGCGCAAATGTATTCAGTAGGGTGGGGATTTGGATTCTGTGCTTCGCCGTCCACAGACAGTGGAAAGGATTGAGGCGCAGATTAAAGTGGAGAGAGGTCAACGTTGTTCAAATTCTGGGACAGGGACGTTGCGGCCGGGAATTCCAATATAAATGTAAAGCAGCCTGGGAGCCAAAGTTAGGGCCGTCCTGCTCCATTTGAGGCTGGCACAAGCACACGGGTGCGCTCAGGTAGACAGTGCCACACACACACAAATGGTAATTCCTGTATGGTCACCGCCAATCTCTTTCCACACAGACTGGATATGCCTTTGACAATGATGGACATGATTTTGGTTCAGCAGGAGTATGATTGTCCAGTCTGCCTAAAACCTACAGTGGGGAGAACAAGTATTGATACACTGCCGATTTTGCAGGTTTTCCTACTTACAAAGCATGTAGAGGTCTGTAATTTTTATCATAGGTACACTTCAACTGTGAGAGACGGAATCAAAAATCCAGAAAATCACATTGTATGATTTTTAAGTAATTAATTTGCATTTTATTGCATGACATAAGTATTTGATCACCTACCAACCAGTAAGAATTCCGGCTCTCACAGACCTGTTAGTTTTTCTTTAAGAAGCCCTCCTGTTCTCCACTCATAACCTGTATTAACTGCACCGGTTTCAACTCGTTACCTGTATAAAAGACACCTGTCCCACACACTCAATCAAACAGACTCCAACCTCTCCACAATGGCCAAGACCAGAGAGCTGTGTAAGGACATCAGGGATAAAATTGTAGACCTGCACAAGGCTGGGATGGGCTACAGGACAATAGGCAAGCAGCTTGGTGAGAAGGCAACAACTGTTGGCGCAATTATTAGAAAATGGAAGAAGTTCAAGATGACGGTCAAACACCCTCGGTCTGGGGCTCCATGCAAGATCTCACCTCGTGGGGCATCAATGATCATGAGGAAGTTGAGGGATCAGCCCAGAACTACACGACAGGACCTGGTCAATGACCTGAAGAGAGCTGGGACCACAGTCTCAAAGAAAACCATTAGTAACACACTACGCCGTCATGGATTAAAATCCTATAACGCACGCAAGGTCCCCCTGCTCAAACCAGCGCATGTCCAGGCCCGTCTGAAGTTTTGCCAATGACCATCTGGATGATCCAGAGGAGGAATGGGAGAAGGTCATGCGGTCTGATGAGACAAAAATATAGCTTTTTGGTCTAAACTCCACTCGCCGTGTTTGGAGGAAGAAGAAGGATGAGTACAACCCCAAGAACACCATCCCAACCGTGAAGCATGGAGGTGGAAACATCATTCTTTGGGGATGCTTTTCTGCAAAGGGGACAGGACGACTGCACCGTATTGAGGGGAGTATGGATGGGGCCATGTATTGCGAGATCTTGGCCAACAACCTCCTTCCCTCAGTAAGAGCATTGAAGATGTGTCGTGGCTGGGTCTTCCAGCATGACAACGACCCGAAACACACAGCCAGGGCAACTAAGGAGTGGCTCCGTAAGAAGCATCTCAAGGTCCTGGAGTGGCCTAGCCAGTTTCCAGACCTGAACCCAATAGAAAATCTTTGGAGGGAGCTGAAAGTCCGTATTGCCCAGCGACAGCCCTGAAACCTGAAGGATCTGGAGAAGGTCTATTTGGAGGAGTGGGCCAAAATCCCTGCTGCAGTGTGTGCAAACCTGGTCAAGACCTACAGGAAACGTATGATCTCTGTAATTGCAAACAAAGGTTTCTGTACCAAATATTAAGTTCTGCTTTTCTGATGTATCAAATACTTATGTCATGCAATAAAATGCAAATTATTTACTTAAAAATCATACAATGTGATTTTCTGGATTTTTGTTTTAGATTCCGTCTCTCACAGTTGAAGTGTACCTATGATAAACATTACAGACCTCTACATGCTTTGTAAGTAGGAAAACCTGCAAAATCTGCAGTGTATCAAATACTTGTTCTCCCCACTGTATCTAAGGGATGTACAGTGAGTGAAAAAAGTATTTGATCCCCTGCTGATTTTGTACGTTTGCCCACTGACAAAGACATGATCAGTCTATAATTTTAATGGTAGGTTTATTTGAACAGTGAGAGACAGAATAACAACAAAAAAATCCTGAAAAACACATGTCAAAAATGTTATAAATTGATTTGCATTTTAATGAGGGAAATAAGTATTTGACCCCTCTGCAAAACATGACTTAGTACTTGGTGGCAAAACCCTTGTTGGCAATCACAGAGGTCAGACGTTTCTTGTAGTTGGTCACCAGGTTTGCACACATCTCATTAGGGATTTGTCCCACTCCTCTTTGCAGATCTTCTCCAAGTCATTAAGATTTCGAGGCTGACGTTTGGCAACTCGAACCTTCAGCTCCCTCCACAGACTTTCTATGGGATTAAGGTCTGGAGACTGGCTAGGCCACTCCAGGACCTTAATGTGCTTCTTCTTGAGCCACTCCTTTGTTGCCTTGGCCGTGTGTTTTGGGTCATTGTCATGCTGGAATACCCATCCACGACCCATTTTCAATGCCCTGGCTGAGGGAAGGGGGTTCTCACCCAAGATTTGACGGTACAAGGCCCCGTCCATCGTCCCTTTGATGCGGTGAAGTTGTCCTGTCCCCTTAGCAGAAAAACACCCCCAAAGCATAATGTTTCCACTTCCATGTTTGACAGTGGGGATGGTGTTCTTTGGGTCATAGGCAGCATTCCTCCTCCTCCAAACACGGCAAGTTGAGTTGATGCCAAAGAGCTCGATTTTGGTCTCATCTGACCACAACACTTTCACCCAGTTCTCCTCTGAATCATTCAGATGTTCATTGGCAAACTTCAGACGGGCCTGTATATGTGCTTTCTTGAGCAGGGGGACCTTGCGGGCGCTGCAGGATTTCAGTCCTTCACGGCATAGTGTGTTACCAATTGTTTTCTTGGTGACTATGGTCCCAGCTGCCTTGAGATCATTGACAAGATCCTCCCGTGTAGTTCTGGGCTGATTCCTCACCGTTCTCATGATCATTGCAACTCCACGAGGTGAGATCTTGCATGGAGCCCCAGGCCGAGGGAGATTGACAGTTCTTTTGTGTTTCTTCCATTTGCAAATAATCGCACCAACTGTTGTCACCTTCTCACCAAGCTGCCTTTAAGAGTGTGCTCCTAATCTCAGCTCGTTACCTGTATAAAAGACACCTGGGAGCCAGAAATCTTTCTGATTGAGAGGGGGTCAAATACTTATTTCCCTCATTAAAATGCAAATCAATTTCTAACATTTTTTACATGCGTTTTTCTGGATTTTTTTGTTGTTATTCTGTCTCTCACTGTTCAAATAAACCTACCATTAAAATTATAGAATTATCATTTCTTTGTCAGTGGGCAAACGTACAAAATCAGCAGGGGATCAAATACTTTTTTCCCTCACTGTAGTAGGCTACAAGAAGGGTGTAAGAATACTAGTGCTTTGTTTTTCAGCCAGCCTGGTAAACATTGAGGCTACAGAGAAGATCATCAGGCAAAGGAGCAAGTACAAGATGGCTGCCTAGGTGCTTTCTGCTAGTGCTGTTTTATTCCATCAAACTGCCTTTGCTGTTCCAAGTCAGACCCATTTTAATACAGCCTTGAAAGCCTCCCCTTTCACCAAGGGATTATGTCTGGGTGTTCTTTTGTTTTATTCCCCAACTGGTAACCCAATCAACCACACCCAAAAACCCAGCGCATCCTTTTTAACCTGGTTTCTCACAGGTCCAGGCTGGGGCTGTTGTGGAGGCTTTTCTCAAAGCACAACTTAGTGGAACCAGGCTAGATTTTAATGGGGTTTGTGGGTCGACCGAGTGCACCTTCCCTCTGTCTCGCCCCAGCCCAGTTCCTCACAAGGGAATGTAGGAGCTCAGCAGGTTTGCCACCACGCCCCAATGTTATTTCAACTTCCATTATGGGTGTGAAGTGGAAACTGTCAGTCCTCGTCATGGGGATAAGGGGGACCTGTGCTGTATGAAATCCTCCCATCACAATGAGTGATAGATTGGAAAATCAATCATGCTGCCTGACTTGTCCTACATTCTACAAAGTGACACCCCGAGATTCATTATTTTATTATTTCTTATTTGATTCAATCATGTATCTGGGGAAAGTGAGGGGTTGCTAGGCCCCAGGCTTTCCTTTAGATTTGCTTCCATTGTTGCCTGCCCTCCTGACTAGCTGGCTCGGCTTCATTTCAGGGCCTGGAACACAAGGCTGTTTGAGTTGCGTTCAGGGACGCGAGGTGGTATTGGGGGAAGTCGGGCACACGTTTGTGAGGAGTCTAAATTTTGTCCTGGACTTGGTTTTGGCCGCCTCAGGGCTGTTCCTTGTGTGTGTGCTTGTCATTTTGTCCATTCCTGGAAATCTAATAATCTTTAATATCCCCTTTCACGAGCTTGATGCTCACTACGATCCATTTCTAGTCCTGCTGCTCCTCTCTAATCTCAGAGCAATCTGGAGTTTTCTATCTTGTAAACACACACACACACACAGGTTCACTCAAGGCCATGAGACTGATACTTTCATTATGTTGTTCTCTCGTACTCCTATATTGAATGAATTTTTCATCTTGGAAAGCACATTTTGATTTGTAAACCTCAAGTTCATCTTCAAATGCGTCAGTCCAATCTGTTTTCTTTTTACAGCGGTGCATAGTTTGATAGCAGGAGAGGTGTCTGAATGATGTGTCTGTGTGTTTTTATTCCGTTTTTGATTGATTCCAAAACACTTATCAGTTGTCTCCGTTTGCTCTTTCTTATGCATTCCTAAACCTGAGTTACCTTCCTTCCTAACCCCCTTGTTCCTGTGTTCTCTTCTCCCTCAGTGCTGGACATGGCACGCCATGTGCCCCTGTACCGGGCGCTGCTGGAGCTGCTGAGGGCCATCTCCACCTCCACGGCCCTGGTTCCCCTGCTGCTGCCCCTGTCAGGAGACCCCAGCCAGGAGGAAGAGGAGGAGGAGCACTCCGAGGGTCAGACTTCTGTGGGCATGCTGCTGGCCAAGATGAAAACCTGCGTGGACACCTACACTAACCGCCTCAGGTGGGGACTTAGACGGACAGAGTAAGAATATACAGAACAAGCAAATAATTAAGTGTCATTGCCCATTTAATCGATGTGAATTGATGGTTTCCGCTGAGCATGAGTTTCAACTGAACAATGGGAGAGGGTTAGAGTACCGCTGCCATTATTGAGGGTTAAATTCCCCAATTATGTATATATACCTTTGAAATTAGGTCTAGTTGTGGCCGCAACGGAACTAGATTGTGAACAGCTCTTGGCGGAATGGCTTGACTGCCACGAGGGGAAATAAGCACCTATTGTTCGCGAACTGCCCCCCCCCCCCACCCCACTACTACTGCCTTTTTCTTCTCTGTGCTGCCTGCGTGCACATGATAGACAGTTGGTGGTCGGAACACGTCTCCAGAGCCTGTGAGTCGGAGGAGAGAGTATTAACCCTGCTGTAGAATTCATTGAGGCCAGCAGGTCGACCAAACGCCCCAATAAAACGACTCAAGACTCAAGTCGGTAAAAAAAAGTAGTTCAAAAAGAACCAATCGTTTACGAACTGCACATCACTACAACCAGCCCAGTGCTGACTGTGGGCTTTACGCAACGACCGTAGCAGGACACCTCAAGAGAAGCAAAGGCACTCTTTACCTCTCCCTACCTGCTCATAGCGCTATGCTAGCTATATTCATCCGCCCAGCACACGGGGATCATCAATATTCCATGGGAACCCATCCAAGGAGTCAATATTTAAAGGATGTGACATGTGCCTGGTTAAACGTGGATACATGTATCAAACAGTTCCAGCTCATGTATGATTCCCACAGACATGCATGATTTTCCCCCGCCCTCCTCCCTGGTGAATGTAAGGTCCCAGCCAGGTTAGTTATTTTTTTAGAAGGCACAGCCCATCTTAGACGCTCCACAAACAAACATGCTGGGACCCATGGCAGTGCTTTCCAAATGTACAGCGGAATACCCCATCTGCCCTGGGAGACTCTGATAGACCTACCTGGTGGTCTGTACCCCTTCTGCTTATCAGCAACAAAATTAGGATTACAGTCTGAGGACTGTCCAGCATGAAGTTACGGTTTCTCTACCATTGAGGGGGAAAAAGAAAACTGCCCTGCTATCGGCTCAGTCAGGCCTCAGCGATAACTGGTTCATAAGCATCATATCCACAGTCATCACATCAGGTTGGGCTCTTACGGCTGGTGTCCAGACACACAGAGAGAGTCTAATGAAAGCAGGGCCTCAGGGCAGTCGGGACGGCTGGGCAGCCACAGCAGAATGTTATCTGCGTCCTCTTATTCAACTGTCTCTCCCAATCTGTGCCCAGCCTGTCCAAGGCCTGTGTGGCCGCCTGGCCGATTAGGACGGGTAGTAGCAGGGGTGGAGTGGGGGGTTGGTGACAGAAGACCTTCGCTGACTGTCCTCGGTGAGGCTGAGGATTCTGGGGGCGAGCGAGCAGAGGGAACTTGGCCGCCGTTCAACTTCACAAAAGGTCATGTGGAAAGTGGCTTTTTCAGCGACCCCCCCCTCAGCAGGGCCAAGGAATCCATTCTCCTCTCAGCTCCCACAGCGTTTTAAGTACAAGGTTAAAGGACTGTCTATGTCCCTCGTGTATTTCAGCCTCCTCTGGGTTTTCCACTTATCACAGTTTTGAAGCAGGGACCTATTTTACCTGGGACTAAAGCAGGGAGGTTTTTTCAATGTCCAGTTTAGTTCCTATACAAACCTCCATAGAAATTGGTCTCTCTGCTTATCTAGTTGTGAGGACCAGGTTATTTATGCTGCAAGGCTTCACAAAGCTGGTTAAATTATTCATAGCACCTGGACAGAGGAACAGTAGCCTTGCCCCTTCGTTCTGTCTGTCTGAACATTGGGTCAGATGTTATTTTCTTCTTGGTTTTTGAGGCTTCACCCTCGTACGCACACCCCTTTAACAGAGCATGAAAAATGCAGTTTCACTCTGTGTGCGTGTAGGGGGCAGGGAATGGCAGAGCTCGGGAGCACTGGGAATTGCTAGTGACATGTGGAGGCCAGGACGGTGCTGGGAATGGGAATATCAATTTTGCTCCAAGATTGTGGCTCACTGGGCAATATGCTCCTTTTCAGATGGACTCCGGGCTCATCTAGAGAAACTCTCCAACCAGAAAATGCCCGATATGTGTAATTGTTGCACAGTAGAGCGAGCGCTCCTTAGGAGCCATGAATATTTCTATTCCCATCAGTAATATAATCGCCCCAGATTTCCTTCCCTGATAGAATGGAAGTAAATTAGCAATATATGTCACTGCAGGATTTTTTAGAAGAATATGATTACTGAACTCTCTCTCTTTTTGTTCTCTTCTCCAGGTCAAAGAAAGACAAGGCGAAAGGTGTGGTGAAGCCTGATAGCTCAGACCCAGAACCTGAGGGCCTGACCCTGCTGGTGCCTGACATCCAGAGGACGGCCGAGATTGTCTATGCTGCCACCACCAGCCTACGGCAGGCCAACCAGGGTAAGCCACACACACCTCACTCTCTGTCTCTCTGGCCAAGGGCCAAACCTGCTGAGCGGGGGGACTATTAGTCTGGTCCCTCCTTGGCTTTTTACTCACATTTATTGTAATACGTGACACAGTAAAATGTTAACCAGTGTCTTTTTAAAGGTTGTCTGTTTTTTTAAAAGTTCCACTGAATTATTTCAGATTTCAGCAGGTCCCAACTCTTCCTACTCCATTTTTCTCTCACTACTGCTCTCTTTTGTCCTGTGTGTTCTTGGGACTAGGATGAGAAAATGGGTCTCTAATTTTAGCCTCCATAAGTACAAATTCCCTCGGTTGTGATTGACTAGAGCCCTTTTAAGTCTCAATTTCATCTTAATGAAAAAATTGCCTGTTTTAGGCCTGAACATCCTGTATCCAACTCCCAATCCCCACCCCAATTCCCTAAGTCAGTAGTTCCCAACCTTTTTTGGAAAGTGGCACACCTTGATGGGATATACAATTCTTCGGCACACCTAAAATGTCCCTGTTAATTTATTTAGTGGTAATGACCTCAATCTCATCTGATCCATACTGCAAATCATCTATTTTCTGTGATTTAATTTTTTTGCTAGATTAAATAGGGTTCATTTGAAATATTTTCATAGTTTTGATAGTTCCTTACTCATTATGTTTATTTTGTGTGTACCCCTTTATGAGCGTCCCGTGAATCTGAGCCAGAAATAAAATGCAGCGCTAGTAAAATTAGTCTTAGTTTTGAACAGTTTGGGCTACAAACGAGTGATTTTCTGCATTGCAACCACGTTTGTTCCTATGGCAGAGGCTGTGGCATAGCTAAACCCAGAGCCATCATAAATAAATGACTCTGGCTAAGCCTAATCAGACTTGCCTGTGCTAATCTTTGCTCGTGATGCACACCCCCCTCAAATGATAAAAAATATATGTAACAGCCTGAGCGCACTGGACTTCAAACAATGATACAGATGTAAACATGTTCCATTTGATGTGTTATCTGACTGGCACTAGTGCTCCCAAGTCCAAATTCCATGTGCATGCCACAGGTCACGTTTCTAAGTGAGAGAAATTAATCAAGATTAGGAAAAGTTTCTCGGAACTCTTAAGAGTTCCTCAAGGCACACCAGTGTGCCGTGGCACACAGGTTGGGAACCACTGCCCTATGTGACAGGTTAAAAGTTACTCCATGTCTCTCACATATCTCTCTAAAAGGCTTTCTATTTAGTATCAAAGCCCTATGTATGTTCTATTGTGGGGACCTGTTGCCCTACAGTCCCCATGCAGCCCATCTGTCAGCGTCACTACAGTGCAGGGAGACACAGCATCCTCCCCAGAGCCCCATAGTGCAGACAGAGGAGGACAGGTGGGTTTGGTAGTGGACACCATATTGTTCATTATATTGCCTACCTCCCAGTGGCTCTCTTGTATTCAGCCGAATCAATGGCGCTCTAACTGAGCATTGTGGTGGAGGGATGATGTGGGGGTTGAGATGCCCAGATGACGATCAATGCAGCCGTCACTTTACCTAAAGAAGTCCATATGATAGCGGCCACTGGATTCATGTACCAAAAGGGAATGGGCGGTATAGGGGAGGGCTGGACGGATGTGTAATTGCTTAATTAGAACTTAGTCTTTTAAAAAATGGCCATAGACGGGCTAACGAGGAGGCGGACATTGGTGTGCTCTGTTCCTACAGCCTAGTATTGACTGGTGAGACTGGTAACGGTCTATCGAAGTATCGATATCCAACACTAACGTGCCAATCGAACTTAAAGTAAATGAAGCTATCGACAGCCATCTTTTTTTATGCCCCTCTGGCATCCTAAGTCAGGTTGTAATAGGCCAGTTAAATGCACCAGTAATTTAATGGGAGTTACATCTGTCCAGGTAGCGGTATCTAAAGCAGAATGCGGGGCTGGGGTGCTATAAATGTGCTATATGTAGACAGTTAATTATGCTGATGCCTTAACTGCTCTCTATCCCATCGCTCCACTATGTTTTATCGGTGGGAAAATTGGTGGGCGTTTCCATTATCATTTGTCTTGGACATGGTTAAGCTGTCGAAAAGACTCAGACTTTGAAGAAACTGGAGGGGAAATTCCATCTTAGCATCTCCAAATGATGGTAGATTAATTCCTCAATTTGAAGGTGAAAATGGGGGGATAAGGGGGCGTGACAAAACCTGCTATTAACTGTGATATTCTGAGATAATCTTGTTGAACTGAAGAGGAATATGGGTTGAATTTGTGTTTTTGATATGTATCTATTATTTGTCGGAGTGGGTGAAGTAGTAATATCAAGGAAGTGGTGACCTCAGCAGTACCTTTTCACAGTGTGGTTGTTTGTTTGCCAGTAGATCCATGTAAAGATGGTAGGTCTGGGCCAATGATGTATATAAAGCGACCGGGAGACTCATGGGCGACGCACAATTGGCCCAGCGTTGTCCAGGGTAGGGGAGGGAATGGCCGGCAGGGATGTAGCTCAGTTGATAGAGCATGGCGTTTGCAACGCCAGGGTTGTGGGTTCGATTCCCACAGGGGGGCCAGTATAATAAAAAAATATGTATTCACTAACTGTAAGTCGCTCTGGATAAGAGCGTCTGCTAAATGACTAAAATGTAAACGTAAATATAAACCCTGCATTGCTGATGCTATGTATTGGCCAGTGAGAGGCTTTGAAGCCACCGGTCGGCCATATTGGCACTTCCCAGAAGAAGCAGTCCTCCATAGAAATTAATGGAATTCTACATTATTTCAACTAAATGTTTTAATGACAAAATTACATGTAAATAAGTATTTTTGTTGTAGAGGGGACATTAGAATTTTCAAGAAATTATCTTTATATTTTTTGTATATTGGTTTAGTTCACATAATATAATGTAAAAGTATCTGTAATAGAATAAACATGGCAAAACAAATGTAGATGTTAACATCTTCCAAAATATATAAATCATTGGTCTGGGCTAGCAGCCTGCTGAGATGAGGGTTGTTGTGACAAATAACGGTAAGCCTGGCTCTCAAACAGGGATAACTTTGAACCTGCCATGGTAACACTTTTAATTTTTTATTTCTCTCTCCATCAGAGAGGAAGTTGGCTGAGTCCTCCAAGAAGGCAACAACCAGACCCAAACCCATGTCCATCCTACGCTCACTAGAGGAGAAGTACGTGGCCATCATGAAGAAGCTCCAGTTTGGTGAGTGCTTTGAGTTTGTGTGTGTTTGTATTCAATGTGTGGTGCCGGGTGTGGTTTGGTAGATATGTTGGAAATGTTGTTGTTTCTCTTAGGACAGGAGAATGCTTAGACATACTATAGGCAGGGCCCGTCTCTTCTCTCCTTGCCTGTCTGTTGATTGGTTCCTCCTCAATGCACATAGTGCCCAGAGCACAGCAGAACAGCCCCCCAAACCCCCTCCTACCCTCTCTGAAATGATACATAACGTAATCCTGCTGCCTGTCTGCGGGGAGGAAGAGCTTTTCTATCTGTCACTTCTCATCCTGCCACGCCATGATTGATTACGGGACTTTTGTTGTGCCGCAATTGATTTTTGCGAGTGGCAGACGTCTAAAGTAATCGCAATTGACATGAATGTAAACAGGTTTGCTCTGGTCCAAGTACAAAAGAGAGACAGAGACGAGCCAAGGTAACAAGGCAGGAACCCCGGAGTGCAATATGATTAACATGCAAACCTCACTGGCCACGTTGCGTCCGTGAGCGTTGCAAAATAAATGTAAACATGTTATTCGGTCATTTCACCCACACCACTCACGCGCGTGTACGAGCGTCTGCGTAGCTAAGCCCTAAAATAGAACTTGGTTCTATTTGAGACGCTCCACGCGCTGCAAGTCTCCTCCTTATTAAATATCAGGAAGGTGCAAACCCACGTGGATGCTTGAAAGATAAACGAGGAGAGATGAATTAAAGATAACTCACTAAAAAAACGAACTAGGTTTCCCTTTTTATCTGTGGATCAAACATTGGAGTAGAGAAACACACAATTTTGTAGGACTCCAGGTCAAAATTCTGCAAATAACCAGCTAAAAAGAGGACCATATGCATGTCAGGTAAAATAACAAACCAATGTTCATGTCCGAGGACAAACTAGCTAGCAACAGCTAGCGAGCTAAATGTCCATGAATGTTTCATTTATGTTTCGACCTTCCCGAAAATGAATATAGTTGGTTCACAGTTGGTTTTCAACATGCACTCGGTGGCGCACATGTGGCGTCGGTGTAGTCAGCATGGAAGGACGAGAGATAGGGTCATGTCATTACTGAATAGAGATTTACTGGGAGGATGTTTGTGTCATGCCTTATTCTTTGATGTGGAATGAACCATTTTAAAGTGTTTAAAACTTCTCTAGCAGTCCCAGTAGGTATTGACATTAATAATCATGTGATGTCTTTCCCTGGCAGACACCTTTGAGATGGTCACGGAGGACGATGACGGGAAGCTGGTGTTCAAGGTGAACTACCACTACATGTCTCAGGTGAAGAACGCCAGCGATGCCAACAGTGCTGCCCGCGCCCGCCGCCTGGCACAGGAGGCCGTCACACTCTCCACCTCGCTGCCCCTCTCCTCCTCCTCCAGCGTCTTCGTCCGCTGTGACGAAGAGCGGCTGGACATCATGAAGGTACAGATATGAATCTATGGATCCACTATGCCTTTTTACGTGCTCAATCCACCCATCTCATTTTCTAATGACAATTTTATACATGCGGTAGCCAACCCACATTTTATGATTCACATTTGAGGTATTAATTAAAGTGATATCTGTTCAATGGTATTCAATGTATATGCTGCAATGAAAATGTATTTGCGCCCTTTCAGATTCTCTATTTTTGCATATTTTTGACACTGAATGTTATCAGATCTTCAACCTAAACCTAATATTAGATAAAGGGAATCTGAGTGTACAAATACCACAACAATGTGATACTTATTTAATTTATTTAATAAACAAAGTTATGCAACACCCAATGACATGGGTCTCCTTATGTCTGGCGAAAACCAAACACTGTATTCCACAGTAAGAACCTTATACCAATGGTCAAGCATGGTGGTGGTAGTGTGATGGTTTGGGGATGCTTTGCTGCCTCAGGACCTGGACGACTTGCCATTATTGAAGGAACCTTGAATTCTGCACTGTATCAGAGAATTCTACAGGAGAATGTCAGGCTATCTCTGTGAGCTTAAGCTAAAGCGCAGCTGGGTCATGCAGTAAAACAGTGATCCAAAACACACAAGCAAGTCTACATCAGAATGGCTGAAAAGCAACAAATTGGAAGTTTTGGAATGGCCTAGTCAAAGTCCAGATCTAAACCTGACAAATGTTGCTGCGTTAAAGCAGTTCTGCATGGAAGAAAATACCTCCACAGCGATGTGAGAGACTGATCAACAACTAAAGTTGGGACAACCAGTTATTGAGTGTAAGGGGGCAATTACTTTTTCACACAGAGGGGTGTTGAGTTTTGCATAACTTTGTCAATTAAATAAATTAAATAATTATCACATTTTTATGTTATTTGTTCACTCATGTTGCCTTTATCTAATATTAGGTTTTGGTTGAAGATCTGATAACATTCAGTGTCAAAAATAGAGAATCTGAAAGCGGGCAAATACTTTTTCACGGCACTGTATATGAAAGGGCTTTACTAGAGACTCTGTCTGATACAGAGATGGCCTCGGGGAATGGCCAGATGACGGTTTGAATGCTTTCCAATTGAGATGCTTGTTAAAGTGAGCAGGGTGTTACAGCACTGTTCCAGTCAAATGGATGCTGCTTGGAATGGCGCCGGAGAAGATGGCTGCCGTTTTACAGACCTCTAACCAATTGTACTATTATCTGTGTTTTTCCGCGTTATTTGTAATTTATTTTGTACATAATGTTTCTGCCATCGTCTCTTATAACCAAAAAGAGCTTCTGGATATCAGGACAGCGATTACTCACCTCGTATTGAACGAATAATTTTTCTTCAACAAGGCGGCCATGAAGGATATCCTACAGACACCCGACAAGGCCCAAATCCCTGTCATTCGCATGAGGAAGAGACGGAGATATCGTGGACGTAGGTCGGGGTGCCTTGTAAGGATCCCACGGCGAGCGAGTAAACTGCCGCTCCCATCAATCCTATTAGCCAATCTTCAATCATTGGAAAATAAATTGGATTACCTAAGATTACGGTTATCCTACCAACGGGACATTAAAAACTGTAATATCTTATGTTTCACCGAGTCGTGGCTGAACGACGACATGGATAACATACTGCTATTGGGCTATACGCTACATCGGCAGGATAGAACGGCTGACTTCGGTAAGACAAGGGGTGGCGGTCTGTGTATATTTGTAAACAACAGCTGGTGCACAAAATCAAACACTAAGGAAATCTCGAGGTTTTGCTCGCCTGAGGTAGAGTATCTTATGATAAGCTGTAGACCACACTATTTACCAAGAGAGTTTTCATCTATATTTTTCATAGCTGTCTATTTACCACCACAAACCAATGCTGGCATTAAGATTGCACTGAATGAGCTGTATAAGGCCATAAGTCAACAGGAAAACGCTCATCCAGAGGCAGCGCTCCTAGTGGCTGGGGACTTTAATGCAGGGAAACTTAAATCCGTTCTACTTAATTTCTACCAGCATGTTAAATGTGCAACCAGAGGAAAAAAAACTCTAGACCACCTTTACTCCACACACAGAGACGCATACAAAGCTCTCCCTCGCCCTCCATTTGGCAAATCTGACCATAACTCTATCCTCCTGATTCCTGCTTATAAGCAAAAACTAAAGCAGGAAGCGCCAGTGACTCGGTTAATAAAAAAGTGATCAGATGACGCAGATGCTAAGCTACAGGACTGTTTTGCTAGCACAGACTGGAACATGTTCTGGGATTCTTCAGATAGCATTGAGGAGTACACCACATCAGTCACTGGCTTCATCAATAAGTGCATCATCAATAAGTGCATCGATGATGTCGTCCCCACATTGACCGTACGTACATACCCCAACCAGAAGCCATGGATTACAGGAAACATCCGCACTGAGCTAAAGGGTAGAGCTGCCGCTTTCAAGGAGCGGGACTCTAACCCGGACGCTTATAAGAAATCCCGCTATGCCCTCCGACGAACCATCAAATAGGCAAAGAGTCAATACAGGACTAAGATTGAATCGTACTACACCGGCTCTGACGCTCGTCGGATGTGGCAGGGCTTGAAAACTATTACAGACTACAAAGGGAAGCACAGCCGCGAGCTTCCCAGTGACACAAGCCTACCAGACGAGCTAAACCACTTCTATGCTCGCTTCGAGGCAAGCAACACTGAAGCATGCATGAGAGCACCAGCTGTTCCGGATGACTATGTGATCACGCTCTCCGTAGCCGATGTGAGTAAGACTTTTAAGCAGGTCAACATTCACAAGGCCGCAGGGCCAGACAGATTACCAGGACGTGTACTCCGAGCATGTGCTGACCAACTGGCAAGTGTCTTCACTGACATTTTCAACATGTCCCTGACTGAGTCTGTAATACCAACATGTTTCAAGCAGACCACCATAGTCCCCGTGCCCAAGGACACTAAGATAACCTGCCTAAATGACTACCCACCTGTAGCACTGACGTCTGTAGCCATGAAGTGCTTTGAAAGGCTGGTCATGGCTCACATCAACACCATTATCCCAGAAACCCTAGACCCACTCCAATTTGCATACCGCTCCAACAGATCCACAGATGATGCAATCTCTATTGCACTCCACACTGCCCTTTCCCACCTGGACAAGAGGAACACCTACGTGATAATGCTATTAATTGACTACAGCTCAGCATTCAACACCATAGTGCCCTCAAAGCTCATCACTAGGCTAAGGATCCTGGGACTAAACACCTCCCTCTGCAACTGGATCCTGGACTTCCTGACGGGCCGCCCCCAGGTGGTAAGGGTAGGTAACAACACATCTGCCACACTGATCCTCAACACGGGGGCCCCTCAGGGGTGCGTGCTCAGTCCCCTCCTGTACTCCCTGTTCACCCATGACTGCATGGCCAGGCACGACTCCAACACCATCATTAAGTTTGCCGACGACACAACAGTGGTAGGCCTGATCACCGACAACGATGAGACAGCCTATAGGGAGGAGGTCAGAGACCTGGCCGTGTGGTGCCAGGATAACAACCTCTCCCTCAACGTGACCAAGACAAAGGAGATGATTGTGGACTACAGGAAAAAAAAGAGGACTGAGCACGCCCCCATTCTCATCGACGGGGCTGTAGTGGAACAGGTTGAGAGCTTCAAGTTTCTTGGTGTCCACATCACCAACGAACTATCATGGTCCAAACACACCAAGACAGTCGTGAAGAGGGCACGACAAAGCCTATTCCCCCTCAGGAGACTAAAAAGATTTGGCATGGGTCCTCAGATCCTCAAAAAATTCTACAGCTGCACCATCGAGAGCATCCTGACTGGTTGCATCACCGCCTGGTATGGCAACTGCTTGGCCTCTGACCGCAAGGCACTACAGAGGGTAGTGCGTACGTCCCAGTACATCACTGGGGCCAAGCTTCCTGCCATCCAGGACCTCTATACCAGGCGGTGTCAGAGGAAGGCCCTCAAAATTGTCAAAGACTCCAGCCACCCTAGTCATAGACTGTTCTCTCTGCTACCGCACGGCAAGCGGTACCGGAGTGCCAAGTCTAGGTCCAAAAGACTTCTCAACAGCTTCTACCCCCAAGCCATAAGACTCCTGAACAGCTAATCATGGCTACCCGGACTATTTGCACTGCCCCCCCACCCCATCTTTTTACGCTGCTGCTACTCTGTTAATTATTTATGCATAGTCACTTTAACTCTACCCACATGTACATATTACTTCAACTACCTCAACTAGCCGGTGCCCCCGCACATTGACTCTGCACCGGTACCCCCCTGTGTATATATAGCCTCCCTACTGTTATTTTATTTTACTTCTGCTCTTTTTTCTCAACACTTTTTTGTTGTTGTTTTATTTTACTTTTTATAAAAAATAAATGCACTGTTGGTTAAGGGCTGTAAGTAAGCATTTCACTGTAATGTCTGCACCTGTTGTATTCGGCGCATGTGGCCAATAAAATTTGATTTGATTTGCTTGGGGCAGTAAAACCGCATTACTTCTGCTGCTTGCAGTTATAGCAGCAGGGATGGGGAAACGGGCTTGGTCTCTTGAGACTCAGCATCTGGTGTTGATAGGCTATGCTTTCGCATTCCAGTGGTCATTCAGCAACGGCTGTCATTGAAAGTCTTACTCATTTTCCAATGACATTTAATAAATGGCCTTGACCCCTTTTCTGATTTAATGGAAAAGTCTCATTCGGTAAATGTCAAAGCCCTCATCTGTTAAGGTTCTGTTCCTGCAAAGAACACTGCAAACTCTTTCCTTAGCAGCACAATGAGAAAAGGCCACTAGTTGACAGCGGCTGGTGGATGTGGTCTAAGTCTAGGGACCCATCTGGCGTATTGCCCCCTCATTTCAAGTTTCCCCTGTCCTACCGCTGTAGACAGTGGATTATCGTTCTTTCACCGGAGCGATAGCATCATGCTATCTTAATAGACATTAATAGCCACTCACTCCAGATTTCCCCCTACTTCTCTGGGAAGTGCACTAAAAGTGTTGGGTCTGAATGTTCATATGAAAATATACGCCCTCCCTGAGTGACACTCAGTGCCCTCGAGCGATCTTGTGAGTGCTCTGCTGAGCTTGATCGGCATGACAACCCCTGACATTGCTACTCATGGCTGACGCTGCTTAGACAGTGGTCAGGCACTCTGTGTTTCACTCTCAAACACGCTCTCTCATACGCACATACACACACTACCGACCTACAGCTTGTCGACATCCTCTTAACCGTTACATGCCTTCTCGCACCTTGTTAAAAACCTGCCTTGCCGTGTTTCTACCTCCCTCCCCTGGATCAATGTTTACATTTTTTTATTCTGTGTCTTGTTCCTGTTCTAAATGCACGCTGCCCGCTTCTCTCGGCCTCTACCCCTCTCCTCCTCCATCAACAAGCCACCCTGGCAGCGTCGCCAGCTCTGCCCCCTCCTCCCCTCCCCTCCCCATTCACCTCCATCTCAAAACAGCCGCTGGGAAAGCTAGTCTGTCTGACACTTCACTCAGACACCTTGTTTGTTGATGCGAGAACACAGGCCTCTCCCCAGGATCCCCACTTCCTCCCTGGTCTACATACCGTGTCTCTCTGAGCTTGGCCCCACAGAAACTCTGAATCCTGGGGGTTTTGTTTTAAAAAGCCAGAGCCAAATGCACTTGAAACAAGGTCTCGGTGCAGTGGGTTTCAGATCAGATTAGCCCTCTGCTGTCAAGCCCTCCTGCGAGCGGCTAATGCGGAAAATCACAGCCTCCCATTCGGGCACGCCATCCTTGAGCCTGAATACCTGTGACTCTGTAATAACCCGCTGCTCTGGAGAAGGTCCCCTCTCATCAGCTCGTGTGAGCAGAGAACAGAGTAAGGGGAGGGGGAGCGGGCTTCGTCCTCATATAAGAGGTTTTCTCCTGCATCGATCAGATGGAGCCTCTGATACAGACAAAGGCTCTTTAATTCCTGTTCACTGAAGGCACAAGGGTATTCCTGCAGAACTACCAAGATCCCTTTTCCATTTCTTATTTTATCATTTTGAGGATCTTGCCAAGCCTGTGTGTAAGGGCTGATAATTGCCAGGGATCTCACAATACATATATTTTATTTTTACAAATTGTTACTTTGAGTAAAATATCGATATAGTATCGTACAAAAATAATATTGCCATATAGATCTATCGATTTGTTTCCGTCCAACACTACTGTCTGTGTCTCTGTGTCATTTATTTTATTTTTCACTTCCTATGGTCATCTTGAGTTAATTAGCTAATCTCATTTTAGTGTGGAAATTAATTGGATTTCTATAATAGCCATGAGATATTCAGCAGGAAAAATACTATTCTTTTGTTTCAGCCACCTCTAGTGGTAATGGGTGTGTGGTTGAAGAAAAAGGTGAGAGTATTGAATTGTCATTAACCCTTTGTGGTCTGTGTGTTGCAGGTTCTCATCACGGGCCCGGCAGACACGCCGTACGCGAACGGCTGCTTTGAGTTTGACGTGTACTTCCCCCAGGACTACCCCAACTCCCCGCCCCTGGTCAACCTGGAGACCACCGGGGGACACAGCGTGCGCTTTAACCCAAACCTCTACAACGACGGAAAGGTGAGTCCCATATACTTAGGGTTAGGGGGTTGGTGAGGAGTTGGGTCAACTGCCTAGCTTTTAATCAACAGAGAGAGTAGCCTTTCCTCAAGGCTAGTTTATTTCCGGTGTGTGTCTCTTCCTCTTGTGAAAAGCAGTAAAGGTGCTGGAGCCTGCCACATCTGCTGCTCCTCATTAGGAAGGCTCTGACGCGGAACATCTATTTTCATAATGGAAGGAGACAGCTGCTATAAGAATTACTGTGGGCTTTCTACAGTAGAGATACCACTCTGGTGGGGAGGCCAGGGAAAACGGCATCTCAGCTCTCCCTCCACTCAACGATGGATGGATGGATGGATGGCTGGGTAGAAGGAGGGCCTCTGCCTGTGGATATTTACCTGACACTGGTCATTCTCTTGTATTTAGCCCTTGATCTGTTCTGTCTTCTCCAGGTGTGTTTAAGTATCCTCAACACCTGGCACGGGAGACCAGAGGAGAAATGGAACCCTCAGACCTCTAGCTTTTTACAGGTGAGACAGAACTCCACTGTACTATACCGCCACCACCCTTTCATATGTCCATTTTTTTTTCTGCTGTCAAAACCAGCGGCAGTCTCATACGTCATTGGGGATGGTTGATCATCAGCCTGTCTCTATTTGACCACAGGGGTGTGTATTAATAGGTAGCTGTTTTGACAGATGCCATAAAGGATCCTCAGTACTGTAAACCAATTAATAGGGTTTATGTTGTGTGTTGAAAGATTTGGACACTGATAATCGCCTAACTTGGAACGCAGTGGTTGTGCAGTAACATGCTATACATGACGTCAGAGCTCAAGGTCTCCGCTTCACAGCGCAGTATTGGTTTAGACCCCTCAAACTCAACTCTGGACCACAAAGCCAGTTCCACTGCATTTTCTCATTGTTCCCCTCTAATTAGGGACTGATTTAGACCTGGGACACCAGGTAGAACAGAAAACCATCAGACTTTGGACCTCGTAGGGTAGGAATTGAACTGACAGCGGTTCTGAACAAGAAGTTGTCACCATCCCTCCTGGGAAGTGCTGTTAATAAGGAGAACTCTTATGTAATTTGAAAGATGAGACATTGAGGATTATAATAAATATTACTTTGTCATACAAGCAAGCCAAACACTGTGAGTCCAAATGTGCACTTCACATTTCCATATCATAAAACTCATGTCATATACAGTGTCAACGTTTATGATCACAATGCTTGATCTACAGTTACAAGATGACGTGGCGTCATACCCTGGGTTGTTCTGAACAGAATGAGCCTATGTTTGTCGTGTTGTGAAGAAATTTGGCGCAGAACACCCATCTAAATGCACTCGTGACTATTCTATGCGTACCAAAATTGTGAAAGCCTAACACTGTAAGACTTATACTGAACAAAAATATAAACGCAACATGTAAAGTGTTGGTCCCATGTTTTCATGAGCTGAAATGTTCCATACGCACAAAAATGATTTCTCAAGTTTTGTGCACAAATTTGTTTATATCCCTGTTAGTGAGCATTTCTCCTTTGCCAAGATAATCCATCCACCAGACAGGTGTGGCATATCAAGAAGCTGATTAAACAGCATGATCATTACAGAGGTGCACCTTATGCTGTGGACAATAAATGGCCACTCTAAAATGTGCAGTTTTGTCACACAACATAATGCCACAGATGTCTCAAGTTTTGAGGGAGTGTGCAGTTGAATGTTAATTTCTCTACCATAACGTAAGTTTTTGAAAATGTGGCACTATGTCCAACCGGCCTCACAACCGCAGACCGTGTGTAACCACGCCAGCCAAGGACCTCCACATCCGGCTTCTTCACCTACAGGATTGTCTAAAACCAGCCAGACGGATAGCTGTGGATTTGCACAACCAAAGGATTTATGTACAAACTGTCAAACTCTCTCAGGGAAGCTCATCTGCGTGCTTGTGGTCTTCACCTGGGTCTTGACCTGACTGCAGTTCGGCGTCGTAACCTACTTCAGTGTGCAAATGCTCACCTTCGATGGCCACTGGCACGCTGGAGAAGTGTGCTCTTCACGGATGAATCCTGGTTTCAACTGTACCGGGCAGATGGCAGACGTGTATGGCTTCGTGTGGGCGAGCGGTTTGCTGATGTCAAATTTGTGCTATTCATCCGCCACCATCACCTCATGTTTCAGCATGATAATGCACGTCGCATGGATCTGTACACAATTCCTGGAAGCTGAAAGTGTCCCAGTTCTTCCATGGCCTGCATACTCACCAGACATGTCACCCATTGAACATTGTTGGGATGCTCTGGATCGACGTGTACGACGGCGTGTTCCAGTTCTCGCCAATATCCAGCAACTTCGCACAGCCATTGAAGAGGAGTGGGACAACATTCCACAGTCCACAATCAACAGCCTGATCAACTCTATGTGAAGGAGATGTGTCAAACTACATGAGGCAAATGGTGGTCACGCCAGTTACTGACTGTTTTTTTTTTTTAAGGTCTGTGACCAACAGATGAACATCTGTATTCCCATTCATGTGAAATCCATAGATTAGGGCCTAATGAATATTCCTATGTTACTGAATGTATCCAGAGTGTTTTTATTCCATTATCAACAAATGCGGTGATGTATAGTAAATGTAAAATGCACCAAAAATCAACAGTGTAATGTTTGTATTCAGTCTTGTCAGATTAACTTTAGTTTCACCTTTAGTATAATCATTTTCCCATAATTTCCAAAAGGTTCCCTTTTAATTTCTACCATGGTTCTGCATTTTCATATTTCTATTTAGGCCTATCTATATAGGCCAATCCCATGAGTCTAAAGGGTTATAACATGGTTAGAGCCATGTCCCTGGTGTCTGTAGGCAGTGTGGCCAGAGGTTTGTCCTTGCGAGTACATCCATCAAACATGTCATCCACTGTTCATACGGGGGAGTCATTTTCTGTGTATATTGATCTGGCAACAAGCCAACGAGAGTCCTTGGAAATGGCTCCCTTTTTTAATTCCCTCATTTGCAGGGTTGGGGAGATGGAGACGTCTCCATTGATTATCATTCTAGTTAGTGTCTGCCAGATCGATAATGGAAATAGGAGGCTGAATGGGGGAGTGTTGGAATCAATTCAAAATCAGCTGACCCTGATATCTAGATCCGGTGAGCAGGTTGGGGGAGGGTGCAGGAGGGGGGGGGGTTCAGAGAGTAGATAGGAAAAGGTCACCAGGGTCAGAGTTGGTAGACATAGTCCTTTGGCACTCATGCAGTATCAATTTCTTCATCCTCATTAATGGTTGAGGTAAGGATTGGGGTAATCAACTATTGTTAGGCTGACATCTACTTGACCGTCAGGGCCAAATGGTTGGAGAACCTTGAGTGTTGTCCAGCTTGGGCTGGCAGACGGGAAGGCAGCCGCCCAGACAGAGTGGCTCTGTGGGTAATATAAATTGGGCAGAGTGATGGAGAAAGCCGTTTACCCAGTCTCCTTGAGACGACCCTGGGCATTAATTGAATCGTTACAAAGATATATTTTTTTTTTACAGAGCGAAAATGTATGCTTTTATCTTGACGCTCTCTTAAACACCTTTCAAACATTTTTCAGTCAACTTTAGCATCCCACCAACTTTTTTACACGTTTTCTTTATATCTGAAAGGTGTTTCCGGTATCAAACCTTTTATTTCCCGCGAACCGACGTAGTCTTTATTGCTGTAAAGTTCTGCCTATGGCTTAGTATGAAATGCAGCCGTAATGCGGAGGAGGCATTGGCACGCTCTTCGCTCTTCAGCTTTTGATGGTTGCTAAGCAGCGCCTGTTACTACTATCCTCCTGGCAGTTCTAAACTTTGCAAGGCATGTCACGTCACCCATCTCTTCACATAGCCCACAACATGCATTGTTTTCTTAACCACAACTGGATGGATCCATAAAGAATTACTGTGGGGAATAAATCGAATAAAATGCTATTAAATAAGTAGAGGTCGTATAGCTCATCTATAAATGTTTCTATCAAGTGTAGGTCTATTTTGCTTGATCATGTATAGGCAACTCCAGAAGGGGTTGTGAAATAGGAACACGAGACTCGCATGCTTTTTGAAAATATACATTGCTATTATTTTATCGGTATCATGATGAAGATACTCAATGTAAGACCCTACGCCTGCTCCCTAACAAAGCAGAGTGGGGATAGGAAAGCAACAAAACATGGATCAAAAAATAATGGGCTTGTCTTAGGCTCTGTTTCAAAATAGCACTTTTATGACAGCGGTTCCACACGTTGCTGTGAAGCAAGTTGTGTTGGGAAAATATTATTTGTATTTGATTGTTATATTTCTTTATATTCTTAGCCTACTATAAAATGTGTTGACTGTGATCAGGGTAGCCTAAGTGTGTCTTGTCTGTTTAATTGACAAAATAGCTTGGCCGATGGATTTCATTTGCATGGCTCAGCCATGTCGCCTATAGGCTGCACAGATCAGTAACATAATTAAACTCCAAATATGCCATTCTATTATTTTGAAAATGCATTTTATTAGTCTTATAATGTTTCTTAGGACCTGCCTAATACAAATGAATAATGGATGTCTTTGTGATGCTGTATATTCAATGGATTGATTAAAATAGGCGTCCACCCACACATCAGCCCACATCTACTCCCACTCCAAAACTTGCCGTTGTGCACGGGAGATATAAAAGGCTCATCCCGGCAAGAATGTTGTAAAGGGACTGTATGAATTGGGTTCTAAAAAACATTGCCAGATTTTTATTTACAGGCAACAAACACACTGTAAAGTCTGTCTGTAAAGGGTAAAGGGTGTCCCCAATGCTTTCTGCTGCGATGCTCATTGTTCTCACCTCTCCCACTGCTTCTGTCTCCTCTTCCTTTTCTTGATCTCTCTCTTGCTCCCCCTCCGGCTCTCTACACACACACCCTTCAGTAACCTCCCTACAAGTTATGGCTGTATGTGTATTTCGTAATGATCAAATACATTCCATTAATCGCTCTCCTCTCTCTCTCTCTCTCTCTCTCTCTCTCTCCTCTCTCTCTCTCTCCCCTCCAGGTACTGGTATCGGTGCAGTCTCTGATCCTGGTGTCGGAGCCCTACTTCAACGAGCCGGGCTACGAGCGTTCACGCGGAACCCCCAGCGGCACACAGAGCTCCCGCGAGTACGACGGAAACATCCGGCAGGCCTCCGTCAAGTGGGCCATGCTGGAGCAGATGCGCAACCCATCACCTTGCTTCAAAGAGGTGAGCCCCCCCCCCAACCCCCCAACCGCTATCAGGCTATCCTACAGTGCCTCACCCTTTCATACACACTGTTAGGTTACCTCGCATCCTCCTTGAAAGAGGTAAGAGCATTAAATAACCCGGACCCTTCCTCCCGTTAATCTTAACCCTCACCTTTCCTGACACCTCAACCTGGCCCACATCAGTGTTTAATAATGCGTCTCAATTCTACTGTAGGATCATTCTCTGTCATGGATTACCATAACACTAACCATGCTCCCTTGTTACAGTAGCTACCAGCCATTAAACAAATGGTCTGATAAAGGATTGTAAAGGACTTTGGGACTGTATTACGACAGTGGCAGATAATACATTCAATGTTGATTAATTCTAAGGTCGATAATATCGCCCCCGTTTTTTGATTTCCTCCTGTCCTTGACTCTGGCCGCGCAGGCTGATAGCGGTCAGTCACCAACTCTGCCTAGAGAGGGAGAGGAGTGGAGCGAGGGAGGGAGGGAGGGAAATAAGTAAGGAGAGGTGTAGCGAGAGGATGGAGGGGAGGGGAAGATGGAGAGAGGGTGGGGGTCGAGGGAAAGAAAGTGAAGCAGAGGGAGATTGGGAGGTAGAGGGAGGTCGGTAGAAAAATAGGTTTCTCATTATTTCCTCCAGGCAGGAGGGGCGTGTCAGTGCCACATAAGCTTTCCCTGTGTGTGTGTGCTGCTGTCTGATGGAGGGAACTTAGGGCACCACAGCCAGAAACACTTCAGTTAGGCTTCTAACGTGCTATATCTAATCACTCACACTGGGAGCAGATAGAACTCAGCCCCCGATATTCCACTCACTCGCTTCTTTCTCCATCTCTCTCGGTCTCTGTGTCAGTCACATTGTAGCTCATTGGAGCTTCATGACACAGCAAGAAACAACTTATTAATGGCACTGTCATTGGCTTTGCTCTGTCGATCGCCTGTGTGTGTATATGCGTGTACACACACACAGCCAACATCGATTTAAAATATTGGATTCTGGGAATGTAGTCCTGGATGAAAACACAGAATGAAATTAAGATCCCAGATGCTTGATGCTCTGCCAAGCACCTTGGCTTTGCCAGACAATAATGTATTTTCCGGTCGCTCGCTACCTGCAATCAGAAGAGAAGAGAGGACAGGACGTCTGTCTGTGGGTCTCAACCTGAGCCTCCGGACCAATGTTTTCCTTCAGCAAGACATTATTTAGCAGGCCGTCAGACAGTCGTGATTAGCCCTGTGAGCAAGCCAGACTGGGGAGACCGAGTGGGGATGTGGAGGTTTGGAGAGCACTGCCATGTCCTCTATCTCTCATTTGTATAGAGAGACAGGGTGGAAAGCCAGTTAACACTAAAACTGCTGGGCCTTGAGGGACCCTCCTTCAAGCTAATGAGCAGTCATTTTGACTGCAACGTTCTAACAGTGTAATTAATTAATTTCATATACAGTGGGGGAAAAAAGTATTTAGTCAGCCACCAATTGTGCAAGTTCTCCCACTTAAAAAGATGAGAGAGGCCTGTAATTTTCATCATAGGTACACGTCAACTATGACACAAATTGAGAGAGAAAAAATCCAGAAAATCACATTGTAGGATTTTTAATGAATTTATTTGCAAATTATGGTGGAAAATAAGTATTTGGTCACCTACAAACAAGCAAGATTTCTGGCTCTCACAGACCTGTAACTTCTTCTTTAAGAGGCTCCTCTGTCCTCCACTCGTTACCTGTATTAGTGGCACCTGTTTTGAACTTGTTATCAGTATAAAAGACACCTGTCCACAACCTCAAACAGTCACACTCCAAACTCCACTATGGCCAAGACCAAAGAGCTGTCAAAGGACACCAGAAACAAAATTGTAGACCTGCACCAGGCTGGGAAGACTGAATCTGCAATAGGTAAGCAGCTTGGTTTGAAGAAATCAGCTGTGGGAGCAATTATTAGGAAATGGAAGACATCCAAGACCACTGATAATCTCCCTCGATCTGGGGCTCCACGCAAGATCTCACCCCGTGGGGTCAAAATGATCACAAGAACGGTGAGCAAAAATCCCTGAACCACACGGGGGGACCTAGTGAATGACCTGCAGAGAGCTGGGACCAAAGTAACAAAGCCTACCATCAGTAACACACTACGCCACCAGGGACTCAAATCCTGCAGTTGCCAGACGTGTCCCCCTGCTTAAGCCAGTACATGTCCAGGCCCGTCTGAAGTTTGCTAGAGTGCATTTGGATGATCCAGAAGAGGATTGGGAGAATGTCATATGGTCAGATGAAACCAAAATAGAACTTTTTGGTAAAAACTCAACTCGTCGTGTTTGGAGGACAAAGAATGCTGAGTTGCATCCAAAGAACACCATACCTACTGTGAAGCATGGGGGTGGAAAACATCATGCTTTGGGGCTGTTTTTCTGCAAAGGGACCAGGACGACTGATCCGTGTAAAGGAAAGAATGAATGGGGCCATGTATCGTGAGATTTTGAGTGAAAACCTCCTTCCATCAGCAAGGGCATTGAAGATGAAACGTGGCTGGGTCTTTTCAGCATGACAATGATCCCAAACACACCGCCCGGGGCAATGAAGGAGTGGCTTCGTAAGAAGCATTTCAAGGTCCTGGAGTGGCCTAGCCAGTCTCCAGATCTCAACCCCATAGAAAATCTTTGGAGGGAGTTGAAAGTCCGTGTTGCCCAGCGACCAGCCCCAAAACATCACTGCTCTAGAGGAGATCTGCATGGAGGAATGGGCCAAAATACCAGCAACAGTGTGTGAAAACCTTGTGAAGACTTACAGAAAACGTTTGACCTGTGTCATTGCCAACAAAGGGTATATAACAAAGTATTGAGAAACTTTTGTTATTGACCAAATACTTATTTTCCACCATAATTTGCAAATAAATTCATTAAAAATCCTACAATGTGATTTTCTGGAGAAAAAAAAATCTCATTTTGTCTGTCATAGTTGACGTGTACCTATGATGAAAATTACAGGCCTCTCTCATCTTTTTAAGTGCGAGAACTTGCACATTGGTGGCTGACTAATACTTTTTTCCCCCACTGTATGCTATCGCAAGAATTATCATTTGGTTGTGTTATGAAGGTCTAAGGTAACATTAGAATACTCTTATTTGTATTTCAAATAGCGTTTTCATTTGTTTACAGTATGTTACTGTAGGCTATACGTAAAATAAAGAAATTCATGTGTTCAAACAATTGTATCATGGAGTGCCTTTTGTACTACTATAAAAACTTGAAAATGTGTTGGAACACGCTAAAGCTATTTTTTAACGACCCAAAT